CCCAACCTCCCCCTCATGGCACCACTGCTGCCCACGCAGGCCTTCTTCACGGCACTGGACGGGAACAATGACAGTGCACAAGATGAGAGGGGATCATGAGTAGGCAAATCCGAGGGGGCTGTAAAGGGGATTTCACAGCTCGATAAGTTTGGACAATTTGTTGACAGTCCCTTTTATTATGAGTCCCGAGGGAGTGGGCATAAATATTGATGCTTTTGCCAGATAAGCTGGAGCTAAATCTCGCTGCTTAGTGCGAACACTCTCAACTTTTGAGGTCCAGGGGAGATATTTTTCCAAGGATTCCCCCTCATAATCCTAACGCCATTTAAACATGTGCGCCACCGTAAATGCCATAGGAAATAAAAATGTGCCTATTTTTCAGAAAATGTTGCACTAGCAATTTGGATTTTTTTTTTCTCCAGTGAAAAAATTGTTGTAATATTACAGGAATAGAGTTGGATTTTTTTTTCTTGTATTTCTACAAGAAAAACATTTTATTTTTAACAAAGCGGTATATTTTGGGAGAGTAAAATCTTTAATAACACAATATTAAAGTTGAGTTCAGCCAGGAAAGAAAGTCACATCTGATGAGGTGAATGCAAAAAGCTACACCGAGGAAACGTCCAACTTTTTTGCAAATCAAGACATTGTTTTATGACTATAAAGCCTGATTTTTTTTCATGAATTTGTCATCGTGTTACGACGTCTGGAAAAGATGTCTTCATTCACAAAAAGGAAGGCCGCAAGTGCCAACTGAGAGTTGCGTGCAACACGCCGGCCAGCACAGAAGGAAGAGCAAGAAGATGAGGCGGAGAAGGCCCCCTACTAAACTCCAATAACTGTTGTTTCCAGAGAGCAGAGAAGATATTTGCCTGTGATGTTGTAAAGCTCTGTTTGTGTGTGTTGCTTCTCCGTGTGAGTTTAAATATCAATTATTCAAAGGATTCAATTACCGTAACATGTATGTCCTTTCTGTTAGACAGTGCATTGCTTTTAATTTATAGTTCGGTTGAACATTTTGTTTTTTTTTCAACATACAATTTTTAATTCTCTTTCGTTTTAAAGGTCCGTTTCGCAGCGAAGTTCGACCGAGAGTGACAAATAAACCGCTTGAAACAAACACGCATGTGCCTCTTATTTGGAGACCAGTCTTCTTTTTATTTCGATCAAGTGATGTTATACAGTCATAACTCGGTTTTCGGCCATAATCTGTTCCAGAAGGCTGTTCGAAAAGCGATTTGTTCGAAATCCGAAACTATTTTATTAGCCCATGATTAGGGGCTAATACACTATGCAGAAATAATAAAAAGATCTGCGCAAATCACAACAAACATGTCTGCTCACAATGAACGTTACACGAGGAAGCGTCACTTCCTCGTGTCAGGAAGTCGAAAGGAGTCGAATGGTGTATTCGGATTTGCTCAGTTTGGTCGAAAACCGGTTTTCGGTCGTAATCCAAGGCGTCAAAATCTCAAATTTTCTGGTCGAAATCCGATTTGGTCGAGAACAGAGACGTTCGAAAACCAAGGTTTGGCTGTATGACAGTCTTACATTTCAGGACTGCAAAAGAGTGAAACTGGTGCGAAGGAAAACTTAATCAAACGTGGGTTTCAATAAGATTAGCTATTTTTCAAGCTATTTGTTAATTTTTAACGCACATGGGAGCGGTAAAACTGTATCAAAACCATATGGCGCATATGTGTCAGTGGATCTGGAACATATTTCCCCATAAGAAACAGACGGCATGTACCCACTCATATATATGACAAGGCTTTGTAGAATCCTCCTGAGGCCTCTGAGGCATCCCTGCGGGCCACACCTCCAAGAGAGACGGCCCGCCGACTAACTCTCCATGGCAACTAATCAATAAGTGACACAGTCAGTCAGCAGCTAAGTGTGTTCAACACCCCCAACAATAACCCCCACCCCCTCCCCTCCCAGGGTTCCACTCGCCTATACAATCACACGCTGGCAAACCTAAGGACCGCTCGCGCAATCTAACGAGAACCAGTTCTAAGTTGATCAAGGTCGCTATGTCAGAAAGCCTTTCGTTTTACATTATGTGCGCGTTATTGTGGTTGGAATTTGCATCCCACCGGGATCCGTGGTCAACGTTTTCACGCCGTGGTGCAGTTAAAAACAATTCAGCTGATTCGATGTTGTTTTGGGTTGCTTGTGATGAGCATTCGTCGCCCTAATTAAAAAGAAAAAGGAAAACGTTGCACTAATATTCGACTTCAAATTCAGTTGGACTTGAAACGTTGTGACTTTTTTTCACTTCAGTATAATTAAAAGTGTTTAAATAAGTCGTTCATTTTTTCAAGATTACAATTTTTGAGGTTTTAGAAAAGAAAATATTTGACATCTTGTACTCATCTCGTTTTTAAAAAGGCAAATTTCTATTTAAATAGCCGAAAAAATGGATGGATGGGAAAAGCAACTATTTGAATAAACATTTAAAAAAATACTTTAATTAAATAATTAATTACTGTACTTATTAGTAATTAAAAGTGATCAATTTGGAGTTATAAAGAGTCTACCCAAGTTTTACAATATGATTTCCTTTTTTTTTCTCATTTTAGATTTGAATTGATGCTGAAATTGGTGAATTTATTTCTTGTCACGTATTTGTAAAATGAACAATTTTGCATCCAAATGTTACAATTATTTTATTGAGTAATTTGTTGAGGAACCATTTTTCAATGAATAATAAATAAAGGACAAACATTATAAAATAATTATAAAACAATAAATAAATTATAAAAATTAACTTCTGCGCTTTAAAACTTACAAATAAGGGTTATCTTATCTTATCTTATCTTAATTTTGTTTCTCATCATCTACCAATGACCTGGCCCGTCTATCCATTTCAGCGATCAAATGCAACCCACGCCAGATGTATCCAAGTGGGCAAGAGTCAAACAGGCCTAACCGGACTTCAGGAAAACAGATCCGTGTGTGTGCATGCGTGCGTGCACGCGTGTGGCATGTGAAGGTGCACGACCGCTTCCCCCCCCCCGCCCACTGACAATAGCCTCACGATCGGAGGGCTCCTTCCATTGTGCGTCTGTCAATCCCCATTCCCTGTCACTGTCCTCCACCAACGCTAATCAATAGCTGTGCCCTAGATGAGAGGCCTAATCTCCTCCCCCGCCCCCGGAGCTGGGCGAGCACTCGGAACACTGTCCCAAGGCGTGCATGCTCGTGTGCGCACGTACACGCGTGGCCCCATTTCCCGCCGCCTTCCAAGACGGGTCATAAGTGGGGTCAGAAGAAGTCGAGTTCAAGACGAGCATGCATGCTCCAGTGTTCCTAGACAAAGTTAATGTGCGCCACAGAAAGGGACCATCTGCGGCACTCACACTTTTGACACACTCAACTCTCCTTAATGCACTCGCAGATTCATCGGAAAGCCTTCTCTCGGTCCGCTTGTGCCCCGTTTGCGGCGAGGGCCTTCACGCTTGAAGGCAACATCCCGTACAAGCGTAGTGGCGCCTGGAGATACAAGCGACCCAACTTGTGACTTTTTCGATGAAGTTCGAGACGAGGCAAGATCATTTTTACTCGTCCCGCGATGGAGGAATGTGCATTTACGTTTGCGCATCAAACAAAGACAATCGCGCGGCGTCTATGAACAGACCGCTAGCATGATGCTAACATAGAATGGAAAACGCCATTGACATGGTTAAAGGTTCGCTACAATCGTTGCAGTTTTCGAAACCCATTAAGCAACAGATGTAGACAGACAAACAATACTCACGGGGCATACATTCTTTATCCTCCATGAAATAAATTTGACAGCATCTTACTGCGCCGTTTACAGTAGCACTCAATTCAACTCAACTGTATTTATAGAGCACTTTAAAACAACCACCGCTGTATACAAAGTGCTGTACATGGAGCAAATATCATATACACAACAATAAACAATAAAACAATACATGAATCACAAAGACAGTAGAAAGCACAAAGTCATGCTAAGTCAAAAGCCAAAGAATACAAATGAGTTTTGAGACAAGTTTTCAAGATGGGCAGCGAGGGGTCTTGCCTAACGTTCAGTGGGAGGTCAGTCCAAAGAGAGGGACCAGCAACGGAAAAAGCCCGATCCCCTCTGAGCCTCCCGCTTAGTTCTTGGTATCTCTAATAATGTCTGGTCCGCAGACCTGAGGCAGGAGTGTACGGGCGGAGGAGCTCAGCGAGGTAATTTGGAGCGAGGCCATTTAAAGATTTGAAAACAAATAATAGGATCTTAAAAAGAACTCTAAAATGTTTTGGGAGCCGGTGAAGGGATACCAGAGTCGGAGTTATGTGCTCCCTCTTACGAGTACCAGTCAAGAGGCAAGCAGCAGCATTCTGGACCACAATTCTTATCTTTTTTGCTTCGAAACACCGCCGCATTGGATTTGGAATGCAACGCGTAAAATGTGTTTTCATCGCAGACTTCAAGCCTTAATTTGAGGGTATTTTCAATCCAAATCAAGTGAATGGTGTCGGAATTTCAACGCTGACCGTCAATGGAACTGCGTCAATGTGACTGCATGATGAAAGTGTTTTGGACAATCTGTTTTTCTGCTCATATTTAGCCGAATGCTTCACAACTCGTTGGTCAGCGCTTCACAGTGCGGATGGACAATGACCTGAATAAGTGACTTCCTTTCATTATTTTTTTGCATTCTTCTTCAAAGTGTGTTTTAGGTCATAAACATGTTGGATAACGCAAGCAAATGCTGGCTTGTCTCCTTTTTAATCGAGCATGGACTTGCGTGAACTTTATAGTCAGTGTGATGTTTAGGCGTAACACAGACACACAGACGGACGCGCACACGCACACGTGCGCACACACACACACACAAATTGCCTCAGTTGCAATCATTCATTTAGTCGAATGAACTTTATGGTGTCTGATTGGCTGAAATCCAGACAGGCTATAGTGCCAACTGTTGCATTAGCATGTGTTTTTTTTTCGACAGAGAGTTTTGAAGAGTAAAAAAAATAAATACCTGGATACTGTGCGTGCAGATCAAAAAGCCCGTGAAGAAATCATTCGGATGATGTTCTGCAAAGAGAGAGAGAGAGAAAAAAAAAAAAACAGAACAAAACATCACCCACTTTGCTTTGAGCTGTTTGTGTGATTAGTTTGCCGTTTGTTTGCATTGAGACAAAAGAGGCACTGAGCCTTATTCCGTTCATATTAGACAGTTCTCGTATGCTTCTGGCACAGAGTAAACACAGCTTGACAGGCAGACATGTTCATAGATGACCTAACCCGCGAGGTCACGATCGGACCCAATGCAGCCGTGTTGACTTTGTATTGTACTGAGGCCCGGGGCACAGCTAAAACATACATCGCCATTATTAAAATCTTAATTGATTTTTAATGACAGAGGGGGGAGAAAATGGTACGTGTACTCATTTCTCTTGTGGTTGTGTGGTGGTAATCCAGATAACCAGCGCAGCGCATGCCAGCCAAAACAAAATATCCTCAGACAATCACGTGTCCCGGCCTGATTTTTGGTATGTGTGCGCGGCCGCTTATAATCGTCAACCCGGAAGGTTTCCCAAGCAGATCAGGGAAGAAAATCACAACACACCCAACACCACAATGTAAGCACTGAGAATCTCTTTTTATTTTTTTATTTTTTTGAAGCAAACTCAGCTTTTGATCCTTAAAGGAGGGCATCCGCGGTCGGTCCAGTCAGGTCCGTAAAATATTGCAACTCGTACACAACTCTTCTTCTTTTTGTCTCTCAACATCACCACAAAGGATTTGAAACGATATGAAAAAAGATGCGCTTCAACGGCTGACTGTCAGCTTTGATTTGAGAGTCGATACGGTTTCTTAAAACTCCTCCCACTTTGGAAGCGACTAAAAGTAATGGGACATTTGTCTGCTCAGCTGTTCCATGCGGTGGGCATGTAAGGCAGCCAATGGAAGTAGCTCCGGTGCATTTCTTCATGATGCGACTGCTGACTAAAGCGGCAGGATGAATTCTGAAGTTTTTTTCGGCACTCAGATGAACTGCTCATCTTCAACCAATTGCTTCAACTAAAGACTTTTTGAAGGCAAAGAAGTGGAATGTTACGCAATGGCCAAGTCAGTCTCCTGACCTGAATCCAACTGAGCATGCGCTTCATTTGCTGAAGACAAAACTGAAAGGAAAATGTCCGAAGACCGAGCAGGATCCGAAGTCATTTGCAGCAGAATATCAACAGGGATGAAAATTCACTCTCCACATTCCACACCTAGGGCAGTAATTAACGGCAAATAACGTACAACCACCAAGTATTCGAAATTGACCATCTTGTTTAGGATTGTTAATTTGTCTCATTAATTTTTTTGGGGTCCTTTCAATAGTGGGGCGCACCGTTCACCTGATTTGGATGTAAAACCCCTCAAGTTAAAGCCGAACGTCTGCAGTTAAAGCATATCTTGTTTGCCTAATTTCAAATCCATGTTTCGAGCCAAAAAGATGACAATTGTATCCATTGTGTTCATTAAATACCGAGTTGATCTCTTTAAAAATTCAATCCAAACTATCACGCCCGAGAGCTGTAAGGTTTGGTTTTGTGGGAGGCCCCTGGTGAGAGCTTGTTTTCTTCCCAGCGACAAACAAGCAAAGAAAGTCGCTGCTGGGCGGATGCGTCTTGTCAAGCGGCGGCGCGCTGGCCTTTGAAGCGCTTCCCACTCGGCATTCCTTGCGGTTGTGTCAGGCACAGCGATTCGACCGCAACTATCATTAATAGGACCTGGTGCAACAGGCAAAATGTCTGCGCATGGGTGTTCACCGCGCCGGTCGTACTTGGGGAAAAAAAGAAGAAAAAAAAAACGGGGACGAAGATGGTTCGACGTGGTCTGCTTCCTGGGAGCGCCTGTTTGTGGGGAAGGACGACTTTCAGTGGGTCAGCCCGAAAGCGCTGACCCCAGGAGGATTTGATGCCATTTTCCCACGCAGGGAGTCGACCTGAGAGGAGCTTGTTAACAACATCTGCCCCAGTTCAGTGAGATTAACCCCCACCCCGAACACACACACACACACACACATACACACACACTGCTCACTCCTGTCAATCTTGGTAGCGCACAAGTCCCGACTACTCAGGGCCAGGCCAGATTCTGAGGTGGACAGGCCACTCCAGGCCCCTGCGGGCTGGGCTCCAAGGGCCCTCCTGGAGATCCCAGCCACAGCAGATCAATACGGAGGCTGTGTTCAGAATCACTCACTCGTTCCCTAATCGCGCTTCCAGTCAACCCCCGTTTATCGCGGGGGGTACGGTCCAGACCCAATCGCCATTCATGAAAAACCACAACAGATATAGTCCGCAAAAAAATAAAACCTCACACTTGCTCTGAAAACTGGACCTAAATGGAAGAGCAGCGTGGCCAGTCGAAGACCTCATGTTTCTCAGCAGTAAATACTTTTTTGAATCAAACTGGTTTTTTTTGGGGGGGTGGGGGGTTAAAATGAATTAACGTTGAAAAATCAAACATTTCTATAAACTGACCCTTTAACTCTCATTTCATTTGTACCTGTGACCAAAAAGCAAAGTGTGAAGAGTCTCTGTTGACTAAAATACATGAGATATTTCACAACAAAAATGGTGTTTCCACATATGAAGTGGCTAACACATTCCTGGATATTTGGGGATTTAGCAGACTTTCACTGTCATTACTACATGTTCAGACCGTTCTTTACTTTTTTACGCAACACTTAGTGACCTGTTTGTTTTGTTTTGGGGTTTTTTTTTTTCCTATTTTGTACTTCACTAATAGTCCATGTATTTAAAAAAAAAAAAAAAAA